TCGGTGGAGCTCCCTACATATGGGGCCACGAAGCATTGTACCAGATGGGGGAGACGAATGTGGACGGTGCCATTGAGGCCTTCGGTGGAGCTCCCTATGGGGCCACGAAGCGCTCTACTGGGTGGGGGAGACGCATTGGCACGGTTCCACTGGGGTTCGGTGGGGCTGCCGATGTGGCCACGAAACGCCGCACTTGGGTGGGGGAGACGCATACGGAAAGAGCCACCGGAGCCTTCGGTGGGGCCCCTATGGGGCCACGCAACGCTGTACTGGGTGGGGAAAAGCATGCGGACTGTGCCATGGCGGTCAGTGGACTTCCCTATGGGGCCACGAAGCGCTGTACAGGGTGCGGGGGGGGAGGGGGACGCATGCGGGCGGTAGCGCTGGGACCTTCGGTGGAGCTCCCTATGGGCCACGAAGCGCTGTACTGGGTGGTGGAAACGCATTCGCGCCTTAGCACTGGGGCCTGTCGGTGGAGCTCTCTCTGGGGCCACGAAACGTTGTACTGGGTGGAGCGGACGCACATGCGGGCGGTAGCAGTGGGGCCGCCGGTGGAGCTCCCTATGGGGCCACGGGACGCAGTACTTGGTGGGGGGACGCATGGGGGCTGTAGCATTGGGACCTTCGGTGGAGCTCCCTATGGGCCACGAAGCGCTGTACTGGGTGGGGGGGGTCGCATGCGGGCGGTAGCACTGGGGCCGTCGGTGGACCTCCCAATGGGGCCACGAAACGCTGGACCAGGTGGGGGGTCTCACGCGGGCGGTAGCATTGGGACCTTCGGTGGAGCTCCCTATGGGGCTAGTGTCGAGAAAGTTCCACGCCGCCTGTGCCTGGACGCGGGGCGCGCATAGCGGATCTCCCATACGCACCCTATCAGGTGTCGAGAAAGTGCCACGCCTGCTGTGCTGGGACGGCAGGCGCGCGTAGCGGCCGCGGTAAGAGACCACCCCCTGCGCACCCCCTCTAGTGTTGAGAAAGTGCCACGCGTGCTATGCCCTGGACGAGAGGCGCGCATTGCGGCCGCGGTGAGAGACCACCCATCTGCGCACCCCTTCTGGTGTCGAGAAACTGCCACGCGTGCTGTGCCAGGACGGGAGGCGCGCATTGCGGCCGCGGTGAGAGACCACCCCCTGCACACCCCCTTCTGGTGTCGAGAAAGTGCACCGCTTGCTGTGCCCTGGACGAGAGGCGCGCATAGCGGCCGCGGTGAGAGACCACCCCATGCGCATCCCCCCTGGTGTTGAGAAAGTGCCACGCCTGCTATGACCTGGACGAGGGGCTCGCATAGCGGCCGCGGTGAGAGACCACCGCGTGCGCACCCGTGTAGTGTCGAGAAAGTGCCACGCCTGCTGTGCCTGGACGAGAGGCGCGCGTAGCGGCCGCGGTGAGAGACCACCCCCTGCGCACCCCCCACGGTGTCGAGAAAATGTCGCGCGCGCTGTGCCTGGACGAGAGGCGCGCATAGCGGCCGCGGTGAGAGACCACCCCGTGCGCACCCCATCTGGTGTCGAGAAACTGCCACGCGTGCTGTGCCAGGACGGGAGGCGCGCGTAGCGGCCGCGGTGAGAAACCGCCCCCTGCCCTGGACGAGACGCGCGTAGCGGCCGCGGTGAGAGACCACCTCTTGCGCACCCCCTACGGTGTCGAGAAAGTGCCACGCTGTGTACGTGTTGTGTGTCAATGTGTTGTGTGGTGTGATGTGTTGATCTGTGCTGTGCTGCGCTGCGCTGTGCTGCGTTGTGCTGTGTGAGAAGGACAAGGAGGAGGAGGAGGAGGAGGAGGAGGAGGAGGAGGAGGAGGAGGAGGAGGAGGAGGAAGAGGAGGAGGAGGAGGAGGAGGAGGAGGAGGAAGAGGAGGAGGAGGAGGAGGAGAGGAGGTGAGTGAACCTCGCGGGTGCGACGCGGCAGGGGAAAACACCATAACCCCACGAAACATATGGGGAACAAATAACGATGACCAGAGCGGCAAAACAAGAGGGCAGAACATTAGCATGGCGAGGGACCCAACCATATGCAGTTGTGAGTACTGCAGCTGTTGGTATCGTCTCCAGTGGAGCTCCCTATGGAAAGTGGAACGCTGCACTGAGTGGGGGGAGACGCATGCGAACCTTGTCACTGGAACCTTCGGTGGAGCTCCCTATGGGCCACGAAACGTTTTACTGGGTGGGAGAGACGCATGCGAACTTTGCCACTGGGACCTTCGGTGTAGGTCCCTATGGGCCACGAAACGTTGTACTGGGTGGGAGATTCGCATGCGTACTTTGCCACTGGGGCCTTCGGTGGAGCTCCCTATGGGCCACGAAGCGTTGCACCGGGTGAAGGAAGCGCATGTGGACTTTGCAACTGTGGCCTTCGGTGGAGCTCCCTACATATGGGGCCACGAAGCATTGTACCAGATGGGGGAGACGAATGTGGACGGTGCCATTGAGGCCTTCGGTGGAGCACCCTGTGGGGCCACGAAGCGCTCTATTGGGTGGGGGAGACGCATTGGCACGGTTCCACTGGGGCTTTCGGTGGGGCTGCCGATGTGGCCACGAAACGCCGCGTTTGGGTGGGGGAGACGCATACGGAAAGAGCCACCGGAGCCTTCGGTGGGGCCCCTATGGGGCCACGCAACGCTGTACTGGGTGGGGAAAAGCATGCGGACTGTGCCATGGCGGTCAGTGGACTTCCCTATGGGGCCACGAAGCGCTGTACAGGGTGCGGGGGGGGAGGGGGACGCATGCGGGCGGTAGCGCTGGGACCTTCGGTGGAGCTCCCTATGGGCCACGAAGAGCTGTACTGGGTGGTGGAAACGCATGCGCGCCTTAGCACTGGGGCCTGTCGGTGGAGCTCTCTCTGGGGCCACGAAACGTTGCACTGGGTGGAGCGGACGCACATGCGGGCGGTAGCAGTGGGGCCGCCGGTGGAGCTCCCTATGGGGCCACGGGACGCAGTACTTGGTGGGGGGACGCATGGGGGCTGTAGCATTGGGACCTTCGGTGGAGCTCCCTACGGGCCACGAAGCGCTGTACTGGGTGGGGGGGGTCGCATGCGGGCGGTAGCACTGGGGCCGTCGGTGGACCTCCCAATGGGGCCACGAAACGCTGGACCAGGTAGAGGGGCGCACGCGGGCGGTAGCCTTGGGACCTTCGGTGGAGCTCCCTATGGGGCTACGAAACGCTGTACTAGGTAGGGGAAACGCATGTGGGCGGAAGTATTGGGACCTTCGGTGGAGCTCCCTATGTGGTCACGAAACATGTGAGGGTTGTGCTGGCATGATAGACCTGATGCGGAGAGCAGACGCAGGCATGGAAGGAGGGAGGAGGGGGGAGGAGGAAGAGGAAAGAAACGCGGGGCGATGTCCTTCCAGAACGAGGACCCAACACCATAGGATGGTTGGGGACAAAAGCCGATACTTTCGACCTTCGATCCTGCGTAGTTCCTCCCTCGCGTCGTCGGTCCTCGACTCTCGATCCTCGATTCCTCGCGTCGTGGACCCTCGATCCTCTGCGCAGCTCCCCCTGTTCGAGGAGTAGCAGTAGTCGTAGTCGCGATGATAGTAATAGTTGTAGTGGTAGTGGTAGTAGTAGTAGTAGCAGTAGTAGTAGTAGTAGTAGTAGTAGTAGTAGTAGTAGTAGTAGTAGTAGTCGTAGTCGTAGTCGTAGTCGTAGTCGTAGTCGTAGTCGTAGTCGTAGTCGTAGTCGTAGTCGTAGTCGTAGTCGTAGTCGTAGTCGTAGTCGTAGTAGTCGTAGTCGTAGTAGTCGTAGTAGTCGTAGTAGTCGTAGTAGTAGTAGTAGTAGTAGTAGTAGTAGTAGTAGTAGTAGTAGTAGTAGTAGTAGTAGTAGTAGTAGTAGTAGTAGTAGTAGCAGTAGTCGTCGTCCTCGATCCTCCACGCTGCGTGCCGTCAAGGCGCGGCAGGAAGGACCCCCTTGGCTTCAGGAAGGGGCTCTGGTTTTTTGTCGGCCGTGCCTTCGGTCCAGGTCGGGGAGCCCAGTCGTCGCTGCGCGCAGTCAAGGCGCTGCAAGAAGGACCACCTTGGCTTCAGAAAGGGGCTCTGGTTTTTTGTCGGCCGTGCCTTGGGTCCAGCTCGGGGAGAGCCCGGTCGTGGCCGCGGCTCGCCGCGGCCAGAGAGGCCCCCTCTCGTCCCCTGCCGGTCCTCACGGTGAGGAGCTCTATAGCTCAGCGTGTCGCGCCGCCGGTTTGGGCCCAGCACGCCTGGGCGCGACACGCTATTCAGGCGCCGCGTAATGGGGGGGTCATAAATGAGGGGGTGGCGAGGGTGGTTCGAAAAGGTACCCAAACGGCACCTAAACGAGCCCCCTGGGGCTCTGGAGGGGCCCGAAAGGGGCACGAAAGGGGACCTTTTCTGACCCCCCCCGTTTATGACCCCCCCATTAAGCCACGCCCAAACTGTGCACGTCCCGGTCGCCAAGCGTCAGCGCCCCCAGCCGTTCCCAGCCGCCCGCCGCGGGGAGCGGAGCGCCACGCTACCCGCGCGGCCAGGGCAGCGTGTCGCCGAGGCCTCCGCCGTGGCACGCCGCAGCACGGTGGTTGTAACTCCTCTTTGGTTTTTCTAGGTCTCCTAGATGGGGTCGGAGTAGATGGGGTCGGAGGATCGCACCGCATCGCCGATGCATCAACAATGCGCCGCGATGCGGAGCTTGATTTTCTCCACGCTGGCGCCGCCGATACATCGCCCACGTCGACGATGCATCGCCGGTGCATCGCCGATAAATCGCCGATGCATCGGCGATGCGGCGCGATCCTCCGACCCCTATCTACTCGGACCCCATCTAGGAGGCCTCTAGTTTTCGATGGGGAATCGAAGTTCAACTTGTGGATACAACGGGCCTCGTTCCTGATTTAGGGTTGTTGCTGTTTTAGCCTTAGATATGAAGGATGGTTTAGGACTAAACACAAACGCTGAAGAACATTAAGTAGCTGCTAAAGCAAGCGGTGTAAACTCTTTGATTATCGCAGTAACTAAAGTAGATACCATTCCTTCCCCCTTCCTCTGAGGCAGCGCCCTCGGCGCCCTCGGCGTCAACATCTCGGGCCGCGCCGACACGGCCGCGGCCCTGCAGCGGCGGCGTGCCAGCGCCGACGAGCCCGCCGAGGCCGCGCCCGTGTCGGCCATGCAGTATCAGGCTTCGGTGGGTTGACGACGTCCTCTTCCTCCTCCTGCTCCTCCTCCTCCTCCTCCTCTTCCTCCTGCTCCTCCTGCTCCTCCCTCCTGCTCCTCCTCCTCCTCCTCCTCATCCTCATCATTCTCATCCGAATCCTCATCCTCTTCTGCGCCCTTCCCCTCCTCCACGAACTCCTCCTCGTCCTCCTCATCCTCCTCCACGTCCTCCTCCTCCGCGTCCTCTCCCACGTCTTCCTCCCCATCGAGGAGACAGCACACACCTCGAATCATCGATCATCAAGGGAGGAGGAGGAAGAGGAGGAGGAAGAGGAGGATGTGGTGGAGGTGGAGGTGGAGGAAGAGGAGTAGGAGGAGGAGGAGGAGGAGAAGAAGAAGTGGATGAGGAGGAGGAGGTGGAGGAGGAGGAGGAGCAGGACGCAAAGCAGGAACATGAAGAGCAGGAGCAGGAGCAGGAGGGAGGAGCAGGACGCAAAGCAGGAACATGAAGAGCAGGAGCAGGAGCAGGAGGGAGGAGCAGGAGGAGCAGGAGCAGAAGCAGGAGCAAGCCTAGGATGAGGAGCAGCAGGAGGAAGAACAGGAATAGGACCACGAGAGCAGGAGCAAGAGGAGGAGGAGGAGGAGGAGGAGGATCAGGAGGAGGAGGAAGAGGAGGAGGAGGAGCAGGAGGTCCAGGCGACGGCCGCCGCGCTCGACTCCGCCGAGGCTCTCGCCCAGCGGCCCCCTCCTCCTCTTTTGTTCTGAGGCATGCCGCGGGAGCGAGCGCTCGAGGCGTCAGTCCTCCTCCTCCTCCTCCTCCTCCTCCTCCTCCTCCTCCTCCTCCTCCTCCTCCTCCTCCTCCCCAGCCCTGCGCGGGCCTGGCTCGGTGCGGCACCCTCCCAGTTCGGCCTCTCCCCGAGTCGTGCCTGAAGCCCGTGCAGGGCGCGGCACGACGGGCGGCACCGCGGCACGGCCGCAGCGGGCCGCGGTCGTTCTGCACGGTGCGTGGTGCTCACGGGCGTGGCCGAGGGTTGCCCCCCCCCTCTCGGGCACCCCGTGGGCCCTCGCGACGGCGCCGTTCGTGGGGGCCCTCGCAGGCGCCGTGGCCCCGCCCTCCCGCCCGCTGGCCAGCCGCCCTCCCCGCGAGGCGCCGGTTGTCGAAGCCAGCTGGGGCGCGGAGCTCGGCGTCTGCACAGATGGCACGGGGGTCGTGTTGCGGGACACTTGCCGCGTCGCCTGCACCGAGCCGCATTGTCAGGCAGCGGCGTTCCTGGCCTGGCTGCGCCTGCCGGCGGAAATGCGTCCTGGTACCACCTTGGCTGGCCGCTGCGCACCTGGCAGGTTCCATCGAGTCCGTACGCAGTGCGCTCAGGGCGCTGGCACCGAGCTTGGCTTCAACATCGCGTCCAAAGTCAAATACCTTGGATTTGTCCTGGGATGCGGCAGCCACGAAATACAAGTAGCACGTGGCGGTGCTCACGACCGCGCCAGTCCCGACAGCCGAGTCGGTCATGCTGTACAACGGCTCAGTGGTCTCTGATGCCGGAAGCCCTCGTCAAGGGCTAGTTGGATGTGTTGCGCCGTATTTTGAAGGTTCCGCCGAAGTCGTTCGCACTTGCTGACTTGTTCAGCCTGTGCACTTGGGCGCCCAGGCTCACGATGGCCGCGCTGCTGTCTGCGTCTTCGGCTGCCGCGCGGCGCACAGCCAACGCCATGCTTTCGGGGTGGAGGGCCTGCGGAGACGCCTGGCTTGAGCGAGCGTGGGACGTCCTCGCGGCCTTCATCGTCATCTCAGGCCGCTTGGCTGCTTCGCATTGGGCCCAGACCGAGTCCATGCTGCAGTGCCTCATGTCAGTGGACACTGCCGCGGTCCCCGCGCCCACCGAGCGGCTGCAGCGGCGCCAGAGGGCTGCCCTCAGCGAGGCCAACGCCGCGGCGCGCCGCAAGCTCGGCGCAGCCGCTGCCGCCTCTCGCAGCAAGGCCCACCTGCAGCGAGCTCACGCGGACGCCACCGCCCAGAGGCTTCCCCCGGAAGCCTTCCAGAATACCATCGGGCGCCGCCTCGCCTGCGCACCCTCGCCGGCGCCTGGCACACGTCCTAGCGCATGCGCACGGGACACGCCCACCCTGCGTGCCCGTGGAGCTGCGAGGCCGGCACGGACCAGATCTCGCACTACGTGCAGTGCCGTGGCGCTCGGTGGTGCCCACGCGCTGCGTCGCGCACCATCGCCCGTGCCTGACCCTTTTTGTACCGCCGGGGGCTGGGCCTGTAGCTGGATTGCGCCGAGGACCCCGAGGACCCGCCGGGGGGAGACCGGCCTTCCCCGGACGGTCGCGCGCGCCTCGCGACCCTCTTCACTTGGCATCGCTCGGACGTGTGGATTTTTTTCTCGGCGAGGACCTTTGAGGATCATCCTTGATCACTAGGCGAAAAAACCACGCACGAAACCGAGAAAAACACAGGGAATGGACGCCCGAGCGATGGCCAGTATAGCACACGTGCAGCCTCGTGTGGCACCGCCCTGGGCCGCTGCGGGCGGGCCCAGAGGTAGCCCAGGCGCTGGCGCGCGCTGCTGCCCACCGCGCCCGGGCTCCCGCTGAGTCGGGCCTGTCCCTCTACAGGGGGAAGATTCAAAAACAGTCAAAACATAATCTGGGGACTATTTTTTGCGTATTTGTGGGCATCTTTTGAATATGTTTTTTGACTATTTTTAAATTTCTCGTCCAAAATCCCCCTGTAGGGGGACAGACCCGACCTAAGTTAGGCTCCCCCGCTCCACGCGGGCCCGGCGCGGTCCGCCTGGCACGCCGGGGCCCCAGCGACCACGAGCCGCGACTTCTCCTCTGTGAGCGGCCCCGCGCCCCGCGGCGGCCCGAGGCGCTCATCCTGCCCCCCTTCAGCTGCGGGCGCTTCTCCTCCTCCCCCATCCCTCCTCCTCCTCCGTCTCCTTCTCCTCCTCCTCCTCCTCCTCCTCCTCCTCCTCCTCCTCCTCCTCCTCCTCCTCCTCCTCCTCCTCCTCCTCCTCCTCCTCTGGCGAGTTGGCTCGAGGTCCTCAAGTAGTGTTTGTTAGAGGTGGCATCCTAGGGGGCACCATCGCTGCACCTCCTCCCTCCTCCTCCCAGCCCGTGGCGCCTGCAGTCGACCTGGTCGACGACGACTACTGTCCTTTTGACTTCGACTAGGGCGCACACGCATTGGCCCGTGCCGAATGCCTCTCCGTCCTTTTCCTGCCCCTCCAGGCTGGCTAGAGGACGAGCTAGCGAGCTGGCTCGACGTTCTCAGCAAGTAGTGTTTGTCAGAGGAGAAACCTTAGGGGGCACCGCTGCTGCATCGACTCCTGCCTTTTCCCAGTCTGCCGCGCCTGCCGTCGATCAGATCTAAATGTTTTGTCTCTCCCTGGGCCTAAAGGGGCTTCAGATATACGCTGTCACGGTGTCCGCGATATACGCTGTCACGGTGTCTGCGCTGGCCCCTCTCTTCTGCTTCTGTCCGCTTGACTTCGACGAATAGGGCGGCCCCGCATTGGCCAGCGCCGAATGCCACTCTGTCCTTTTTCCATCCCTTTGCAGCATGGTTCACGGGGCCTCCGAGAGAGGCGCAATTCACCCTCGCATGCAGTCTGACCCCCGCCTCGGCGTCGCAGCATCGCCGTGCGCACTCGCCTGCATAGCTGCGCCAGGATAGGACGGGCAGGAGAAGCCCGATCCAGCGACGGGCCGCCTTCAATATACACGTTTGCTGACACGCATCAGCTTGGCACATGGCCCCACTCGTCGAGTAAAAAAAAGTAGGGGGGCTCCTCCTCCTCCTCCTCCTCCTCCTCCTCCCTCCTCCCTCCTCCTCCTCCTCCTCCTCCTCCTCCTCCCTCCCCTCCTCCTTCTCCCCTCCTCCTCCTCTTCCTTCTCCTGCGCCTCATCCTCCTCCCTCCTCCTCTCCCCCTCCCTCCTCCTTTTCCTCCTCCTCCTCCTCCCCTCCTCCTCCTCCTCCTCCTCCTCCTCCTCCTCCTCCTCCTCCTCCTACCCCTCCTTCTCCTCCTCCTCCTCCTCTCCTCCTCCTCCTCCTCCTCATCCTCCTCCTCCTCCTCCTCCTCTTCCTCCTCCTCCTCCTCCTCCTCCTCCTCCTCCTCCTCCTCCTCCCCCTCCCTCCTCCTCCCTCCTCCTTCTCCCCCTCCCTCCTCCTTTTCCCTGCTCCTGCTCCTCGCCCGGAGGCGGGCTGCGGAACCGGGCTCGTCGTCGGCGCCTCGGATCCAGGATCGAGATGTTTGGCTGTCTTTGGCCCCGTTTCGGTCTCCGAGGCGCTCGGGAAGATGCCTACAGGGTGCCTGCGGGTACCGTTATGTCGGGCCCGTCCCTCTAGAGGGGGAATATTGAAAAATTGTCAAAACATAGTCTGGAGTGGGAATATGTGTTGAGTATTTTTGATTTTTCGTCGAAAATCCCCCTGTAGGGGGACACGCCCGATTAAGTATAGAGACATCTGAGCACTGCAGGTCCGGAATCCGCCAGGAATACCCAGGCTTGACGTCCAACGTTGGGGCCAAAAACCATACGAGCGACGGCGGCGGCACTGGATAAGGAACGTCTTCCTGGGGCCCAGACCCTGGCGCATTAATTATGTTTTGAAGGCGAGGTGGGTGGCCCACGTTTGGCCGCCCATCTGTCGCGAGACCCTGGGTTCCTTATCGAAGGCATCCTTATCTAAAACCTCCACCGTACGAGCGGCGGACATATCCATATCTGCGCCCTCGCGGTCTGGATTCCCCGGCGCGATCCCGCGGATGCGCGGTCGCACGGATACGTTCCGCGCCGGCTACCCGTGAACAACGATTGGCCACGCGCAGAGGGGGGTCAGGGGGAGGGGGGGAGGCTTCTTAGGAGCACCCCCGCTTCTTAGGAGGCGCGGGCCTTGTCTGTGGATGTAAGGCCCGCGCCCTCTAAGAAGCAGCCTCCTTCTCAGAAGCCTTCCCCCCTCCCCCTTGCCCCTCTGTGCGCGCGGCCAAGAATCAGGAGGGAAAGAAACACACAGACACGATTAAATCGTCGACTCCTAGGAAAATATGGGAAAATATTGGAAGTGGGGGGGAGGACGAAAACCCAGAAAATATTGGAAAATATGGGGAATATGTTTATTTGTGTGCATTTATTTGTGTGTGTGTGTGTCCTTGGGGCCCCTTCAAAGAAAAAAGGCCCGTGCTGCCGCAGGGCCGCGGCCCGCGAAGCCCGGCCCCCGCGCAGCGGGGGATGCGGAGGCGCGCTGTCGCCCACGGGGCACGGGGGCCGGCGTTTCGTCCCGCGCCCTTTTGCTGGCGGCCCCGAGGCCCTGCAGGGGCCTCTTAGGAGCTGGAAGCAGCGCAGCGCCGCCCGCCCAGTGGCCCTCACGACGCGAGGGCCGCGGATGTCCGCACGAGCCGCCGCCGCCGCCGCCGCCACGAGCGCACCCCCCCGTGGGGGCTTTCGGGCCGTGCGCCCCCGGCACGCGTCTGGATCGGCACGCACGACATTCGGGCCGGACGAAAGGGAGGGATCGGGAAAGGGGGGGTTACGAAATTTGCTGCATGCAGCTGGCTTCGGCCTCACCGAGGAGCCCATGCCTCGATACATGGGCGCCTCCGGCGCCGGGAGGCGCCGGGAAAATCAGCTACGTGAGCTGATTCTCAAACTCCCCTTTTGCTATCCCCCCCTTTCGCCCGACCCGAGAAATGGGTACGAACAAAAAAACGGGTACAATACCCAACAGCAGTTCCTTTCAATTTTGTACAGGACTTGCTGTCCGTGTCGCCGCGGCCTGTGTACATTTGGGACAGAAGACCGCTTGCCCAACAGCGGCCGCTGTTGGTTTCGGACAACATTTGTTGTTGGGCATTGTACCCATTTTTGTCCGTACAAATTTCGGGCGTCCAAATTGGAGGCTGGTTCCGAGCCCCAGAACACAATAAAAAGCAGCGCCGGGAAACAAAGCGTGCCACCGAAAGGAAGAAACCAGAGGTTCGGCCTCTACGCCAAATCTGGGCTTCACGACACAATCTTGGCGGGCGTGTCTGCCCCGACTTCGGGCCCACGGACCCTAACGGGTCGGCCCGGCTCGAGAGATAATTCCATGGGGAGGCGGTGCCAGGGGCTTTGGTCGTGTTTTGTCCGCAGCGCCGTGAAAGGTTCATCGCGTCGGATCTCAGGGCATGCCGATTATGAATCGGCCTATCGTGGGCCTAGGGACGGTGTAGTGCCTTCCTGGTCTACCCAGGAGTGCGTAACTATATGGCCAGGAATGGGGGCTTAGCGTGTCGGTCCGCCCGTTCTGCTCCACCACGCGTCGGCGCGACACGCCATCCACGTTCCAGCCACCAAGCTTCAACGTGTCGAGTCTGTGTCCAGCCTCCCGACCCGCGGAGCGGAGCGACACGCCATCCGCCTGCAAGGCATGGAGCTTGGCGTGTCGCCAGGGCCGCCGCGGCGACACGCCGAGCCAGAATTCCTGCCCGTACGTGCGCCGATCCGGGGTTCCAGGGCGGGCCTGGTCAGGGCGGGCGCAGGTTTCAAAGCATTGCTGTGTGAGATTTCACCTAAGTGCGTCCGCCTGCAGGCTGCCAGCTCGTCGTCGCTCCTAGACGCAGCGGCGACGAGGAAGAAGGATGGGTCTCCTATTCGTTCGCGCCTCCACCAATGTCGTTGCGGCTCGCCTTTACCTGGGGCAGACGTCCACCAACCTTGGTGGCGGTAGTATGATGCAGGCCACCATAGAGGCTAAAGCATTCAAGTACCACCGCCATCGAGATCAAGGGTCGCCCCGACCCCTCGGTAGAGGTGAGATCGCGGTCATCGTGCCGACCTGTTGATCCCCGAAAGGAGCCAGATTTCCTCGTGATGTCCACAGAGCTGACGAAGTCGCCGACGCTGCCGACGTACGACTCCTACGACGACTACCCGCCAGAAACTCCTGTGGACCTGACAATTGCGCAGCCGCCCGATGCCGACGGAAATCCGTACAACGTGCCGACGTGGGGCGAAAACACGCCGCCGGCGTGAGCTGGGGGCAGTCTCCGCTGACCAAGCTCCAGCACTTTGTTCCCCCTCCCTCCTCCTCCTCCTCCTCCTACTCCTCCTCCTCTTCCTCGTCCTCATCCTTCTCCTCATCCTCCTCCTCCTCCTCCTCCTCCTCCTCCTCCTCCTCCTCCTCCTCCTCCTCCTCCTCCTCCTCCTCCCCCCGAGCGTCGCGAAACAAACTAACAAGCAAAACGCGACGAGTGACGCTCTGCTAGTTCGGCGTCTGGGAACCTGTTTCTGGCCCCCCCTCGATCCAAGAGTTGCCCGCGACGAAGAAGCGGGGTGGAAGCGAGAGTTCTGGGGCACTCGTAATGAAGCAAAAGCACGACGTCGGCGGCCTGGGTCTCTCTTCCATTCGCGCAGCGGAAGAGCTCGGCCCCTGAATGCAAGGGCGTCCTCGAGGGCGCGAACTTAGGCGCCCTTACGAATGCCGACTACGCTCGGCCCCTGCCTGCTGCAGCAGGGGCCAGCTGGCCCTTCACGTTTTTGTTGACCGCCGCCCTCTGCAAAGAGTGTTGGCGCGCAGCGGAGTCAAAATTGGCCGCCGTCGTCGACACCGTTCTCATTCGGCATCACACTCGTGACCATCAGTCTCATCACATGCCTCATGATCACCGTAATCGCCATCATCACCACCATCACCATCACTGAGCCCACATTGACGGCAGAGGGCTCCACATTGAACCTTGCTTTCTCTCTTCCCCCTTGAGCCCCGACATTGTTAGAATAACCATCACCATCACCTTCACCATCATCACCACCATCCCATCACCACCACAGCCACCACCCGACCCCTCGGATTCTGGCCGAGGCTGCGGCAGCCCGCCGCCCATCCCGGCGGGATCGCCACCTCGGACACCGACGCGGAGGCATCCTGGAGGACCAGAGGTCGTGAAGCCGAGGAGGCCGACTGGAGGGCCGCCCCGCACTGCGAGCAGCACTGCGGCCAAGACGCCGAACAGAAAGAATCGCCTCGCCCCTCGGGAGGGGCTCTTCAGCGAGCGAAGAACGGTATAACACAAACCTTTTCGCCGTCGGGGGCGCCTGTCCCTGGGCGGCTGGAAAGTTTTATACCCCTGCGGTGCCACCGTAGGGGTACAAACTTTCCAGCCGCCCTGTCCACCGCCAGAGTATGTCCACATCCACCGCTTCGGAGTCGTGCCCTGGAATCTCGAGGAGCAGTGGATGTGGATATCCGCCCGCCCGCGTGAGCGGGCAGATATCCATATCCGCCGCTCCCCGAGTCCTCGCAACACGACCCAGCAGCAGTAGATATGGTCAAATTCTGGCGGCGCACCCTGGGGCAGGCGCCCCCGACGGCGAAAAGGTTTATGCTATACCGTTCTCCGCTCGCCGAGCTCTGGCCCTCGAGCCGCCCCGCGGGCCTCGGCCAGGGAGCCGCTCCGTGGCCGAGAGGCTCGCCGTGGCCCTCGAAGGCCCCCCCTTTCGACCCGTCTCGCGGAGGCCTGGCGGCCCGTGCCGCCGGCCCCGAAGGGCGAAGGGCGACGGCAGCGGCGGCGGCGGCGGCGACGACGCCGGCGTGGGCCAGAGGAGCGCGTCTTTCAGGAGGAAGAGAAACACACAGACACAGTAATCTTCGATTCCCGAGAAAATATAGGAAAATATGGGAAGTGGAAGGGGAAGACAGAAACCCAGAAAATATTGGAAAGTATGGGGAATATTTTCATTTGTGTGTGTGTATTTATTTGTGTGTCCCAGGGCCCCTTCACTCTTGGGGTCTCTTTGGAGGGCTCGCGGGGGCCGCTGGGGAGGAATTCTGGGAGGAATGCCGAGGCCTCTCGGGGGCCTCCTGGGGGGCCTCCTGGGGCCTCTGCGGGCTTCCTGGGGGCCTCTTCTCTTGTGACCTCTTGTGGCCTCCTCGATGCCCCCTCGATCCTTGTTTCGCGCGCGTTGTGGTGGCAAGATGACTGTACGCAGCAAGATGACCGTAGGCGCAAGCGCGCCTTCGCAAGCGTAGGCCCGGCAGCCACGGGGTGGGAGGCCCCTCGACCCCAGGTTTGCTTCCAACTTGTCGGGAGCAGCATGCCGAGATCCGAGGGGTGGAGCATGAGATACTGGGCACCGAAATGCGGGCCACCGATTCGAGCAAGCAGTAAGGTGCAAATCGCCCACAGCGTCGCCGACGCCATTAGCCGGGGATGTCAGAAAATATGCCCAAGCGCGCCCCGCCCGCCATACGGCCCCCAAGGTCTTGCACCATGCAGGAGCAAAAGAAGGACGTACACGTACATGAATCCACGTTGGCTTCGAGAGCACGTACGTATCACGCGGCTGGTCTCGCGGACTGGGGGGCCGTGTTCATGCATTGGGGTGGACGCGTACGTCCTCTGTGGGCTCCCTACCCTTGGCCTGCCGCGCGTCCAGCAGGATCGTGGTCGGGGGAGGGGGCTGCACCAGGCGGCACCACGCTGCAGTCCCTCGCTGGGCAGCCCGGAGCTGCCGCGAGGCGACCGCGCTCTGCCGCCGGCGGCGACACCGTGCGGCGGCACCATGCCATGTGTAGGCCGCGGCGGCGACACCGCGCCGCGGCACCGAGGAGGGATCCGGACTGCGGGCTTGACAGCGCTCGCTGGAAGGCGGGGTGCTCCCACGCCGCCCGCGGTCTCGGGTGCTGCCTCGCGGTCGTGGAGCGGGCGCAGCGATGGCTCTGCCCGCAGGTGCCGCGTGCGATCACGCTTGGCGGAGCGCAGCCCCTGAAACGCAGACCCAGTGTCTCGGGCCGGGCGAAAGGGGGGGATTGGGAAAGGGGGAGTTACGAAATTTGCTGCATGCAGCTGGTTTCGGCCCCACCGAGGGGCCCATTCCTCGATACATAGCCGCCTCCGGCGCCGGGAGGCGCCGGGAAAATCAGCTACGTGAGCTGAGTCTCAAACCCCCCCTTTGCTCCCCCCCCCTTTCGCCCGACCCGAGTGTCATGTTATGGGTTCCCCGTGGGCGCCCCCCAGGGCCTTCTTGGCGTCACACACGATTGCGCCATCTATCAAGTAGTCATGGGGCCCGTCCAGCATCCCGAAGACTCGTTGTATGCTAGGTTGCTCCCGCATGGAACCTCAATCGGAGTCTTGTCATCCCAGCCCCCATCACAGAGAGAAATCTTGATGCTGTTTATGCCACTTCCAGGTCCCCGCCGACGCTTTTCATACTCATACACCATTGATCCAAATGCCTGCGGTAAAGCCCGCCACTGCGCCAGTGCAGCAGCGCAGCGTGGAGGAGATCGAGCGAGAGACGCATATTGCAGCTTCTCTGGGCCTTTTGAAGGCCTCGCGGAAGCCTTTCAGGTCCGGTTGGGAGGCCTTTGGTAAATTTTGGTAGTGTGGGGGGTGATTTTTGGAGGACATCGTACGGATCTCTTGAGCCTCTCCGGGGCGTCTTGGGGGGGCTTCGGGGGGCTTCTTCGGAGCATGTTGGGGGTATTGGAGGTACTCTTGTATGAAAAAGGCTGACAAGGCCAGCTCTACATCCCCCCTTCGGTTTCTCTTGGGGCCGTCTTGCGTGTTTCTTGGGCCACCTTGTGTGCATCTTGGACCGTCGTGGGGCTCCCCTGGGCCGTTCTTAAAACATCTTGGACAATTTTGGGGCTGAGGCCTTCTTTGGCCGTCTTGGGGCTCCCTTGTGCTGTCTTGAAGGCCTCATGGGTCGTCGTGAAGCCCCCTTGGGCCGTCTTGGGGCTCTCTTGGGACCTTCTTGGTCTGTCTCGAAGCCCTCTTGGGGACCTACTGGGACGTCTTGGGCTCTCCGAAGCCAGAAACGGCCAGCACGCTAAAATCTGTCGAGGCCCTCTTGAGCGTCCTCTGAGAGCCCTCGTGGGCCCTCTTGGGACCATCTTGGGCCATCTTGGGGCGTTCCTGGAGTATCGAGGCACTTTTGGGCAATATTGGGACCGCCTTGGAGGCCGTTTGGTATTCTTCGGGCGAGCCGGGTTGTCTTGGATGTTTGTGTGTGTTGTTTTGGTTGTAGGGCGTTTTGTTCGTTGTTTGGTGTGTTGTTGTATGTTATTACTATTTTGGGCTGTGTTGACCCCCTTGGCCAGGACCTATATGGGAGAACGGCTTCTCCAAAGAGTAACTTGTTATGGCAATTGCCCAAGGTTTGCTCAAGAGAGGGTGGACGATGTGTAAAGTGAGAGTGCGGGGAGGGGAGGGGGTCGGCCCCAGAAAACATGAAGATGAAACACATGTGTATATATTTACACATATTCCCTTTTCTATATTTCCCAACCATCCTGTGGTGTTGGGTCCTCGTTTTGAAGAGACGGTGCCCCGCGTTCTCATTCCTTCCTTCCTTCCTCCCGCTGCCTCCTCCCTCCTCCCCCTCTTCCCTGCGTTTCACCCACCCAGTACAGCGCTTCGTAGCCCCATAGGGAGCTCCACCGAAGGCCCCAGTGCAGCCGCCCGCATGCGTCACGCACACCCAGTTCGGCACACCCCTCACACGTTTCGTGGCCCCATAGGGAGCTCCGCCGAAGGCCCCAGTGCCCGCGCCCGCATGCGTCACGCACACCCAATTCGGCACACACCCTCACACGCTTCGTGGCCCCATAGGGAGCTCCACCGAAGGCCCCAGTGCCCGCGCCCGCATGCGTCACGCACACCCATTTCGGCACACCCCTCACACGTTTCGTGGTCCCATAGGGAGCTCCACCGAAGGCCCCAGTGCTGCCGGCCCGCATGCGTCACGCACACCCAATTTGGCACACCCCTCACACTTCGTGGCCCCATAGGGAGCTCCACCGAAGGCCCAGTTCTGCCGCCCGCATGCGTCACGCACCACCCAACCCCCACGTTTCGTGGCCCATAGCACCCCCCCAGGCCCGTTTCGTGGCCCCATAGGGAGCTGCCGCCCGCATGCGTCGGGCCCCAGAAGGCCCCAGTGCTGCCGCCCGCATGCGTCCCCACACCCAATTCGGCACACCCCTCACACGTTTCGTGGCCCCATAGGGAGCTCCACCGAAGGCCCCA